TGAGAGTAATGAGATCAGCTAAAACCTTAAATAAATAATCATGGAAGAAGAGATAAAAATAATCTCGATAAATATAAATGGATTAAATTCGACCATAAAAAGGAAAAGAACACTAAATAAACTAGGAAAACTAAAAATGGACATAATTTGTTTACAAGAAGTTCATATTAGGAAACAACATAAAAATTTATTAGAATATCCAAAATTGGGAGAATTAAACACCTCACTTGCAGACCAGAGTAAAAGAGGTGTGGCATTATATATTCAGAAAACAATACAAACTAAATTGATATATTCAGATGAAGAAGGATGAATCTTAATGGTAGAAGTAATTATGAACTGTAAAAAATCATTATTGGTAGCAATTTATGCTCCAAATGAAAATCAAGAGAATTTTTATCTAAAATTACATAAGAAAATAATAGAACTGGAATATGAAAGCATATGTATGATTGGAGATTTTAATGCTATTGTAAAGCCTGAGTTGGATTATAATACAAAAAAAAATAAGACTCTAAGAAGAACACTTCCTAAATCCTTCTATAATATGGTGGATGAATTAAATATACTTGATGCTTGGAGAGAGAAATATCCGGCAAAGAAACAATATACGTTCTATTCTAACAGACCAATTCCTGGTCAAGAATTGATATGACATGGATGTCAACAGATTTATTTACAAACTTACAAAATATAGCCATAGAAACAAGCACATGGGCGGATCACAACCCAGTGACAATCATATGGAACGGACAAAAAAAGAGAACAAGATGGACATTAAACCAAACTATATTGAATGAAAAGTATTTTCAGCAATATATGAAAAAAGAAATACTTTTCTTTTTTAAGGAAAACAAAAAAGAAGATACTTCACTTCAAAATGTTTGGGATACGGCGAAAGCATACCTGAGAGGTCTTGCTATCACTTATTTGGGGAAAAAGAACAAACATAAAAGACAAAATAAGGGAAAACTGGAGGAAGAATATAAGATACTTGAGAAAGAATTACAGAAAGATACACAAAACAAAAAGATTAAAAATTTAATGGAACTGAACAAACATAAAATGAACTTACTAGAAAATGAAGAAGTGGCAATGAAAATAAAGGCAGCTAAGCAAACCTTTTTTGAGCATGCAAACAAACCAGGGAGATGGTTGACATATAAAATTAAAAAGGAGAAAGAGAAGAGATGGATTAAACAATTGGAAGATGCTGAGGGGATTTTACAACATCGAAATGAAGAAAAGAAAAAAATAATCTGGGAATATTATGAGAACCTATACAAGCAACAAACAGTTTCAGATGATAGGATAAAACATTTTTTGGAAGAAACAGAGATACCTAAAATGCCGGAGAAATTTAAAAAGCTATTAGAAGGGGAAATAACAATGATGGAATAGAAGCAATCAACAGACAAAAAAAATGGTAAAATACCAGGACCGGATGGACTACCAGCAGAGCTATATAAGACATTGCAGGAAGTACTAGGTAATGTAATGTTGGAACTTTATAATGAACTTCTTTCTGAAGCTAAGATACCAGATTCGTGGTCCGAAGCTCTTATTACTCTCATACCAAAGGAAGAAATGGAAACACAGAAAATAAAGAACTACAGGCCGATTTCCCTACTGAATGTGGACTACAAAATATTTGCATCAATAATGGCGGAAAGACTTAAAGTTTTTAAATGAATTTATACAATCGGATCAAAATGACTTCTTACCCAAAAGACAGATTAGAGACAATATGTGAATTATATTGAATACACTAGAATATTATGAAACACATTCCGAGAAACAGATGGCATTGGTGTTCCTGGACGCTCAGAAGGCATTCGACAATGTGAACTGGCAATTCATGATAAGCCAATTACAGACTATGGATTGTGGGGAGAAATTTATAAATGTAATCAGAACAATTTGTAATAAGCAATCAGCCAAAGTAATGATAAATGGAGATATGACTGAGAAGATCAACATTATGAAGGGAACAAGACAGGGCTGTCCCCTATCTCCACTGTTGTTTGTTCTGACATTAGAAGTATTAAATAGACGTATAAGACAGAATGACATAAAAGGGATGAAAATTAAGAGGGAAGAATATAAGCTACAAGCATTCGCAGACGATTTAGTATTTATTTTGGAGGAACCATTAGAGACAGGACCTGTATTAATAGAACAAATAGAAAAATATGATGAGGTAGCTGGATTGAAAATTAATAAAGATAAAACCAAAATGTTAGTGAAAAATATTACTGAAAAACAAAAAAAAGAACTGGTGGGAAAATTAGATATACAGATTGTAAAGAAGGTAAAATATTTAGGGATCCACCTGACAGCAAGATGCACAACAATTAAAGAGGGTAATTATCATAAATTGAAAAGACAAATTGAAGTAGATTTGGATAAATGGAAAAATGTACAACTATCATTAATGGGAAGGATTGCGATAATCAAAATGAATATATTACCACAATTATTGTTCTTGTTTACAACAATACCAATAAGATTAGAAAAGAAATATTTTGAAGGGCTTAATAAAATAATCTTGAAATATATTTGGCAAGGAAAAAAGGCAAGAATTAAACTAAAAATGTTACAAGATACAAGATTGAGAGGTGGGTTGGTCTACCTAATTGGGAATTGTACTATCAGGCTGCAGCATTATCATGGATGAGAGAATGGATCTTACTGAGGAATACAAGATTATTGACATTAGAGGGACATGATTTACAGTTGGGATGGCATGCTTTCATATGGTATGGAAAAAACAGAATACGTAACTATTTCCAGAGACACTATATAAGGAACTCTTTATTTGTTGTCTGGGAGAAAGTAAAGAGAAATTATTATTTGAAGATTCCAAATTGGCTCTCAACTATGGAGGTGTTAATACATCCCAATATGTTTAACATGGGAAACATTATAAGATATAAAGACTTATTAACAGATATGGGGGAGTTGAAAACCAAACAACAATTAGAGGAACAAGGAATAAAGATGGATGGTACACAAGAACGCAAATACAATCTAGATATGAAAAAGATGTTAAAATAGATGGTGTTAATTTGGCGACAACAGAGTTAGATGAAATACTCACAGGAACGGAAGAAAAATGGATTAAAAAATGTACAGTTATCTACTACATATGGAGTTAGAGAAGGAACAAGTGAAAGAGACAATGATAAAATGGATAAGGAATTTTGGATACACAATTGAATTAGATAGATGGCAGCAATTATGGGAAAGAAACTATAAATTGACAATGGCGACTGCGTATAAAGAAAATACGTACAACATGTTTTACAGATGGCACATGTCTCCTGAAAGATTAGCTAAAATGTTTAAGGACAGGTCTATGAAATTTTGGAAATGTCATCAGATACCAGGTTCCTTCTACCATATGTGGTGGACATGTGTAGAAGCTAAAACTTATTGGAATATAATTAGAACATGGGTAGAAAAGATGATACAACAACGGATAGAACTAAGACCAGAAATATTCCTGTTGGGTATCCTACCAGAGAAATACAATAAAGAAAAAACATATTTAATTATTCATGTAATTACGGCAGCCAGGATTATGTTTGCACAAAATTGGAAAGCACTGAAAGCCCCCCCCCCCAGAGGGAGAGGTGATTGGCAAAATAATGGAATGTGCAGAAATGAATAGACTAACAATGACAATTAAACAACTAAGACAGAGTCAGACTACTATGAAATTTGGGGAACTTTTTATGATTGACTGAAAAGAGAATACAGTTAAAAGATAGTTAACATCAATTTAGATGGAAGAAGGAGCAGATAAGGAGGGAGACCCAGGCGACACAGTATTGAATAACTGCAGGCTGTATAAATGTTTATAGAAATATATACCGAGAAGGTTAGATAAATAGAAGTATTAATCTTATTGTATATAATACAGATAGGGAAATTTGGAGAGAGGAGTTGCTCGGACATTACCCCTGAATTGTATCTGAAGAGGGATGAAGAAAGGAGAGGAGAGAGAAAAGAGTAAAGGAGGGGAGAAGGAAGTAGGAAGGTTGGAGGAAAAGGAAAGGGGAGGAGAGTGGTGAAGGAGAGGAGAGGAAGAAGAGGGAAGTAGGGAAGAAAGAAAGGGAGAAAGAAGGTAAAGAAGAAGGAGTGTGGATACGGTGAAAGGGGAAATGGGCGAGCAACACCAAAGTTATATGTATGTATTTATTTCATTTTGTTAAAAGTATCTGTATGTGAGTGTGGAAGGAATGTATGTTAATATCTGATAAGTATTACGGTATATGTATGGGGGAGAGTTTGGAAAAATAAAAAATTATTGTAGCTTCTGGCTAATTAACAATGCCATATGCTAATAACCCGTAATCCTTCTCTTTAATAGAAATACCTAGCTCCCTCAATTGTTCGTTATACGATTTTAGCCTTCAGAACCTTTATCGATCAGCCCCATTTTTCCTTTGGGAAGTCTGAGCTACTTTACTTATCATCACTGGAACACCTAATGAAGTCCTTTCTTCAGATGTTTGTGTGTGTACTTCCTGGGAGAGGTTATGAAATCAATTGCGCAATTCTAGAGAAGGCAGGGACTATCTTCTCATATTTTTTTCTTCTTTGTGTGACATGCTGCCATTGCCCTTGCTTTTCCTTTTCATACTCCTTGATGTGTTCTTTGGATAGAGACCTCTGATTTTAATAGTTCTCAGTTTTTAGATTATGCTGCCAAATGACTGGTTTTCAGCAGCTTAATTAATTCTCACAGAATTAACATCTGACCTCCCCATCCAATGACATCATTTCTAAAATCCAGGAGACCCTGCAAGCCAAAACCATTTTCATAATTAAGTGCAGCCCCAATGCCAGACTCTGCAACTCTATTTTACAAATACAATAAAGCAAATACAGCAAATACAGTAAAGCAAATACAGTAAAGCAAATACAGCAAATTTCAAATTTATGTTAAGCATTCTATAGAAGTCAATAATACTTCAAACACAAACAAAGTCAGATTTAATGAAGTATGTATAGATCTTTATTATTTCCAGACACAAATACAAAGCAGTTTGTATTCACTGGCAATGGCTTTTGCAGTTTTACCATTAAATGGTAAGAAAGCTGGTTTGCACTATGAAAATATTTTGGGGAAATTCCTGAGCTTCATTTCTTGAAGCAAAGATATTTTAAAAGGAGAAAATATAACTTTGAACCTGAACATCACACACATATATATTACTTAGCTGAAAGGCCCTTCTTCAAATATAGATGCCTCAAAACTCCATTTATAGGGAAAAAAATCAAATACTGATACATCAAAAATTTTGTAATCTACTTTTTTGGAAGTACCCTTCCCATCCAAATGTTGGATATTGCTTTGAAATGTAACAGAGCTTCAAAACATGTAAAAGAATAAACATCATGACCTTCAAGGTCAGGAAATAATGCAGTTGGCAAAAATAGCGAAGAAGGCATCACAGCACTATATAAAAATATGGTTGCATCTAGCACCTGTTGAGATAGCATAAAGTCCTGCATGGAATTACTGAGTTCTAACGAATCAAGTATGTAGTAACTCATCGAGTTTACAGTTCTTATTAGAACTGTATTAGAATACATGCCGATTTCTAAACAGAAACTGCTATGATTACAGTCATTACCAATAAAAAGAACTGGATACTAGAAATAAGTGAAACTAATCTGGCTATCACGGTTTCAACGTGAGCAACAATAAAAATTGACAGCTAAGAAACCATTGACAATTAAGTCACAAAAAGATGTTTTGAAAAGAGTAGTTATGAATTCTTTAATTCTGCAAATCATTCAAGTAAAAAATTCAATTTCCTTTCTCTCTGCGAGATAGGCAAAGCAGAGATTACTGCAGTTCTTTTTCCAAAATAGCCCTTAGAAAAAGATAACTCCTCTATTACCTACTTCTTTGGTTGCTCAAAGATCTCTTCAGATGTTTCTGTTTCTTCCCGGTTCTCTTATGGCTGTGGTTTCTTTTATCCTGGTATCGGTTGCTACTAAATGTCTGCCTCTGTTGTGTATATTCCAAATTTGGGCTCCTCTGATGAGGACTACTACTCTTTCTAGAGTGTTTTTTATAAGGGTGCCTATCTTTTCTGCATTTCTCATCCTCACTACTTAAGTCTTTTCTGTGTCTGCTTTTTTCAATTTTATTTTTGCTCTGGTGATTACAAACGTCACTGTCTCTGTATGAATGACTTCTCCCCTTGCTTGGCTCTCTGTTGCATTTGCCGTGTTCTATGAGGGAGTTCTTATAAAGGATCTTCTCATGATCCAATGTGCTGTTGTGTTGCTGATTTGCAGGTACACTGGAAAGGACACCCAAATTATTTTCGTCAGAGACCTTATCCTTGTTGTTAATATTGATCATAGTGTCTTGAAGACCTTCCTCATGGACACTCCCATTTAAGTACTTTGGATGAAGGAAATTTTCATTAGCTGCTATGCTGCTTTGACAAATGTGGAGTGGTTGAGACAAGATGGATTGCTCTGAGGTAGATGTGATGCAATGGGGAACACTTGCTAGGTTTTTCCAGGTGGGAAACTGCACTACAGTAGAGTCGGACTTTTTCACAGGAATTATTTCCATTTTTTTGCTCATAAGGTTGTTGAGCAATTTCTCTCGCAATTCCCTTTCTTTCCTCTGCAGTCCAAGAGCTCTTTCTTTTTCTTCCTCTACTCGTTGGAGTTCTGCCTCTTGCAGTTTTCTCCTCTCCTCAAACTGCTGAAGACGAATTTTTTCCTCAATATGTTCCTGTTCCAAAAGCTTTACTACCTACCAATATTGAAAAAAAAAAGAAATACTTTCCATAATAAAATCAACTGCATAAGTTCAAAAAAGAATGTAATAAACAAGCATATTTATTTAGTAAATCTAAAACAAGTTTTTGATCTATATAAAGTGTAAATAAAATTAAATTGCTCCTGAGATAGATCATCCTAAAGCAGTGCCTAGGACAGTGGTGGCAAACATATGGCACGCGTGCCAGAGGCGGCACTCAGAGCCCTCTCTTTGGGCATGCACGCTGTCGCCCCAGTCCTAGGCCTTCAGCTGGGCTTTATAAAACCTTTTCGCTTTAGGCCTCTGCCGCCCTGTGGGAAAAAAAAAAGGTTCAATCAATCAGTCAATTCCAACTTCTCGCGGAGAAAAAAAAGATCTTGCAAAGTTGGAATTGATTGAACTTTTTAGTCCCACCCAGTCTGCTGTCACCACTGCAGTCACTCCCACCCAATGGGCCACACCCACCTGGCACCCGATGATGCATAAGTGGGTTTTGGGTTGCAGTTTGGGCACTCAGTCTCTAAAAGGTTTGCCATCACTGGCCTAGGAATTAACATGAATCAATCTCTGACATCAGACTGAAAGTTTATTTACCCCTTATACGTTTACATGAAGAGATTTTAAGAAATCTCCATCAAGGGATGTCACCAGGTTACCTGAGTGGATTTATTCTCCCTGACAAAATTGTTAGAAGGCATTGCTAGAATTTCAATACTTCATATAATACCATTATAGTATTCACATTCTAAAGTAGGGACAATCTGATACTACGAAGCTGACAAATTAGGTTTTCTTAACCAAAAACTCCTTAATATAATATGGGTTGAACTCTTGTATACTGTATTCAATCAAGTAGTTTTGATGACCACAGTTGAGGAAACTGAAACAATGGAAATTCTAGAAGAGAGAGGACTTTGATATCCAATCCTGATGTTTGGCCCTTTTGCCCCTCCACTTTTAATTGGATTGATTTTGTTATATAGGAAAACACAACTGACATATTAATCCTCTAAACAAGAAAGGAAAAAGGGAGACAGGAGATTTAGCCTAGAGAAAAAACCCAGTGCTGACATAAAAATCAGTAACTGGTATAGTGACTTTTACAACTGGAAAAAACAGGAAATCAGAAGCATCTGACAAATGATATGCATGTCTTTAGTTAAATTGTAAGTACATATTTAACATATGCCACTACAAATATTCTTTTCTTGGAGTACAGGGCATTTTTTTATGAAAAACTGAAGAAAAAAAGCTACCTTGGCTCTGCTCAGTAATTCAGCAATTAGTCTAATGGACTGAAGATTTCTTTGAGCTAAAAGCAGCTTCCTCTCTTCTAGTTTTATTTTTTCTTGTAATTTTTTTTGCTCTTCAGCTTGAAGTTTTTCAAGTCTTTTCTTGTTTCGACGTATTTCGCGATCTTTTTGTTTCTGCTCTCTCTTCCTCAATTTTTCTTCTCTTTTTCTCTCTCTTTCTAACTCTTCAAGTTCTTTTTGTTTCCTAGAAAGGCATATTATGTTACAATTTCAGGTGTTTATGTTTCAAGCAGAAAACTACTATTACTTATATTTGAAATTCAAACATATTCATTTGAAGGTTAAGGCAATGTAAAATTGTTTTACCAGCCTTAATTTCTGCAAATAACATACAGATTTTGTGTTTCTCATAATTTTATATTTAAATTTGCATTTTATTTAAATCTCTCCATCCGTAAACAATAAAGAATATGAGCAATTTTCATGCCACTTACAAAATGGAATCCCAATGGAACTATTGTCAAAACTAGCCTTACAAATGATTGGATGCTTCTGTATTCTGAATATGTTCAACAGTAGACCTCAGTGAACTTTATAATACCTTAAATACATGCATATGGATGATAGAAATCAACCTAGATTTAATATCTCAGGTTAATTATATGTATAAGAAAATATTTGGTACACTGAGATACGTTTACTGAGATAGATTTACTTTATTTTAATGTTAAAAGCTAATAGTACATTATGCTGATAGCTGACATATGCATAGAATTTTTCTAACATATTAATTTAGATCTGTAACTGGCCAGATTACAATATCTGAAAATATATTTTCCTATACATCTCATGAAATATAAATTATTTTGAAATATCTTCAGAGTCTACAAACACACATACCACCCCCAATATACATATAAATTTGGCAAAGATTTGGCAAAGTTTATAATCTAGTATTTATAATATTTCCTATGAAAGATTGACACCTACCTTTCTTCCTCTTTTTGTCTTTCCTCTGCTTCCTTTTCTTTACGTTTTTGCTCTTCTCTTTGTTTTTCAAGCTCTTGGAGCTTCTGTCTTTCCAGCTGACGTTTCTTAATTGATGCATCACTCAGGTGTTTAGTGGAATCAAATGAAACCTTTACAGACATAGGTAAAAACTTTTTTTTTATTAAAGTTAAGAACCTCAGATCAGTACAGAATTTATTTGAGTCTGGATTAAAACAGTACTACACTGAACTAACTCAGATCAGGACAGAGAATTTTAAACAATACTATGAAAATAATCCTATTATTTAGTATTATTATAATACTATTCAATCAATAGCCATTACATAAATGACTATTGATATTTATAACCCTTGATATTTATAACCAGTTAAATTAACAAATAAATTTATTTACTGTGGGAAAAAAAGAGACCTTGATTTTTTTAATAGAGCACTTTTTATTCTTTTTTTAATTGTGCCATCAGCCTCCATCTAGTTTAATGGTATTCAAAATAGCTGTAAAAGTTTTTAACCTAATATTTTAAAATATGTTGAACTATTTCTAAATTATCAATGTCATGTAAAATAGGAATTTGAAATAGAAATTTATTATATGTAGATCAAATAAACCAGCTTCAAATATAATTCCAACTAAAATAAGAAAAACAGTTTTAAATAAAATATTAAACCATACAGAGTACCATCCAGAAATTTAATAATACATTGAAATGTACTGCCTTTTACAATCCATTTGAGCGCAGCTAAGTCTCTAATAAAACTATGCACCTAAGACTGAGGGCACTATAGAAAAGGCCCTGCCATATGTGCCTGCTATTGTGGTCTTAACATATGGGTATGGCTCTATCAAACAACCTGTCTTCAAATTTATGCACATTTATCTTGAGAAACTCTGTTGAATTTAGTGGGAGTTGCAAATGAGTCCAGATGGTCCTCATTTAATGACCACTTGTTCAACAACTGCTTGAACTTAGCACTGAAATATTGTTCGTTAATTACGACTGGCCTTCAAATTTATGAGCATTGCAACATTCTATGATCATTATTTGCAACCTTCTCTGCCAGTTTCCAACAAGAAAAATCAATGTGGAAGCTGGCAATAAGTCGCAAGTTTTGGTCATGTGACCACTTAGCTATACAATGAGGACTGCCAGAACTGCTGTCACTAAGTGTCATGGTCACATGTTTTTTTTAACGTATGATTATATCTATCATTCAATGGAATTTCCATTCCCAATTAACATTAAATGAAAACTATATGTATTTTTTTTAGAACTGCATATCATGCAAATTAATGTCTGCAAACAATCTAAACACAGAAAGGGTAACCTCTAAATCAAGTGTGATCGCTACCACAGCCGAGTCTCTAATATAAATTTTAAACTATTGGCAAATGTGCATTTTGCAAGGAGACTCCCCTGAGCTATTCTAAGGGAAATGCCTACTTACATAACAGTACTATTCATTTATTTATTAGATTTATGTGCTGCCCATCTCATCTAGAGGCAGCTCTTCATAAAACTATTTTTGTCTACTTTCATACAGCCTACATAACTCATCAATTACCCAAGAGCCAGGTGTAGAACCACAGTATCCCTACAACAAACACATAACCTTGAAGTAAGAGACATGAAATTTTGCCTTTTCTGCAACTTTGGGAGTTTCAGATGACTAAATAGTGCCTTAAGAGTACAAACATTTAAGGCACCATCTTCATGTCAAAAAACCTCTAAAGTCTTCAAAGAAAATTAGGGCATTTTTTTTGCTATGGAAAGCTTTTAGGACCAAATAAGCCTCTCCAATGTGTAAGCCAACTCTAACCAAAAGAGGCCAAAAGTGTTGCTCTGACTTTCCAAAAAACATCATATCATTTGGACAGCTCTCTTGCAAGTCATGAGAAGAAGAAATAAATAAGTTCTGATTTCTAGCTGAAGACAGTTGATTGTTTCTGAATTATGCCATTAGTGCTTTTCCCTTTTGCTTGTAAAGTGTGTAAACAGGGGGAAAAATACAAAAAGCAAATATTCAAATGGCACAATGGATTTATATTCATTAAAAGATGGATATTTATCAATAGTATTTTAAAATATCCTTAGAAAAATATACTTTTTAATTCACTTGCATTTCCTAAACTTATAGTTAATTGATGACAGCATATTTTAGTAATATGTACTTTATCATTTGAATTTGGAACATTACCCTTTATAAAGTTATAAATTCCCTCTACTATCTCTTGCAATTTAATAGATACCTGCTTGATTATTTGTAGAAAGCTAATATATGCATATTTGATAAGTAATTATGAAGACTTGCTAAAATATGTTGCATTTTATTCTTTTTACCCCTTGGAGGAAAAATAGTTTCTGAACAGAAATTAGCAGAATACCTGCCTGAAATTGAATGATTTTTCAAAAATGAAGAAGAGTTCAGCACTACATCACCTTTATGTTGCAAGCCACCGCTTTGCCATCTTCACCTTTGTACATCAACTTCATCCCTCGCAAAGCATTCATAGCCTTGATGAAACCTGCATATTCTTCATATTGAACGTAGGCTTCAAAATTCAAATGGCCTCCAAAACTGAATGTATGAAAATTTCTGCCAGTCATTTCTTCCCTATATGGATCCAACATTGGTATATCCACATTACGTATTTCTCCAAATTTGCTGAATACTTTAATGAGAGCTTCTTCACTTGGTTTTTCTGAGCCAGAGTCTTTTAATGCAAACCATTTGCAAGGTAACCCCTCCAAATGGATAGTATCTGGTCTTTCTCCTGGCAAAGTTTCATTCATATCTTTTGCATCACGGAAAAAAGAATCCCAGTCATGTCGTGTAGGGAAATCAATTTTATATTCTGCAGCACGGACTTTTAAAATATCAGAAAAGCCACTAAGTTTGATAGTTTTGCCATCTAGACATGCAAGGAAGGATTTAACTAAACACTTATTTTCTACTTCTCCTTCAAATCGGATGAAATCCATGGTGCTTTTAGAAATCCGTAGTGTTGAGAACTGATGAGTATGCACCATTCCTTTTAGTCTTTCCATTACCTCCCAGTTGGAAATGGATTTCCCTGGTTGCTTTAACTGTGGAAGTGCCACACTGATAGTCATTTTTGTAATGGGCTTAAGGTATAAACCATACAAAGCACAAAGCTCTACAGCTTCAGAAGTATCATGAACTATTGTCGCAGCTGCCATAACTACAATAATAATAATAAAGCCTGCAAGGAAAGTAAGCTGCTTATCTATATTGTAGGCACTGGTAAAAAATGGTCCTCTTTCTAATATAACTGTTCATCTTAATGGTTTTGTAAAAATTACATTGATGGTTATAGAACAGATCCTATTTCTTTTACTGTTACGTCTGTCTAGTCTGCAAAAATGTACTTGAATATTCCAATCTCAAGAAACATAAAATATGAATTTTCTAGATGAATTTTAAAGCTATGGGAGGAATTAGTTTTTATAAGGAGAAAAGAAAATATTTTTTCTAGAGCTATGGCCCTCAGACAGATTGCAGATTACAGGATGGATCACAAGCAAGAGAGAGGAGTTCCAGTGTTTTCAGAAGAACACAAATCTAAGAAAAAATGAAATAGATGAATTACAGGCTTACAGAATTTTTATCAAACATAGAATTGTTCATGAAAACCTAGCAGACTTTTAGATGTTAGACAACCTTTAAATCACTTTTTGAAACATTCAATTTAACCCACAATCCAAACATTCCATGAAAAATTATAACTTATAAAACAAAATATAATAAAGCAAAGTAATTTTTTTAAAAAATTAAATGCCACAACTTTAAGCCATTTAAGGACAAAAATGCATAGTCAAGTTATATTAAATCCCAATGACTTACATATTTATCTAGAAATAAGTGAATTCAACAGAATCTGATTCTAAATAATACATATGCATTTCCAAGAAAATATGTGGGCAAGATAAAGTTTGTTCTAAATTAAACTGAGCAAAATTTATGTTTATATGTGTATCAAGTTACATCCTCAGCAAAATGAATTACTTAAAGGTACAAATGCTTCTTAAAAGACACAAAATTGGCTTATGTTAACTTAATTAAGCTTAAGATTGTGCTACTAAAATTAAAAAGCAAATTTCAAGAACTAAATAAGAGGAAGAATATTCTACGTCACAATATATTAATAAAATAGGGTTGAATTACATCAAAATCAAGATAATTATTTACAGATGCCAGAAGACAACCCAAAGTAGCCATTGCTGCATAATTTTAATTAAAAAATGTTCAAATCCTGCCTTGATTTCTTTTCCTTCTCAGCAAGTGTTATCATTTAAGTTGGGACCTGAACAGTAGGAATTTCTACTGCGTTTATAATTAAATTTCATTGAGCCATCATGGAATGCTTCTTCATTTGTAAAAAAAAAAAAAAAAAAAAAAGGAAAATAAGCACAGGTTTTCTGACTCAGATTAAAGGTCTATGCGGCCAATGTATTATATTTACCTGGGATGAACTATAGATATCTGAAGAGTACACATCACCCATATAGATGAGAACCCTAATTTGCCCCCATGTTCCTTTTTTCAAATACGTGGCTGTCTATTGAAGGTCAAAATTTATAAAAGCAGATATAAAGTGAAAAAAATATATAATAATCTTTAAAAGGGGCCTTATGGGCAGGTTGAATTTAAAAAGAGGTCTGGGATCCGAAATGTAGAAATAACTGCCATAGGCCAACTCCCCAAATGTGATGCATTAGATGTATCAGACTTCAGACCTCAGAATTCATGCCAGCATAAAAGCTAGGTTGGAGACAGCAGCACTCAACTCTCCGAGAAATACAATTATTGAAAGAATATGGCCAGCCAGATAAATCTCAGCCAACTTTGTCTATTCTATTCCTATTCCGAGAATAGCAAACAGGAAAACAGATTAATTTTTTAAAAAGGCAAACTATTTAAGTTTGATGAAAGGCCACAGCAGACATCTTTACAATTAACTTTTTTTTTTAAACAAGAATTTCAAGCGAACCAGCAGCTGATGCTAGGGAAGCTCGCTGTGAAGAGGCAATTACCGACCGAGTCCCACGGGACTCGCAGCAGGACGCCCTGCTTCTACAAATCTCCCTGAGTTAGAATCCCATAAAATGTAGCATTGTTCAAGAAACGGAGAGAGACAAACTCCGAGTGAGGTGCTGGAAATCGACCACTGATGCCGTTCCATCTCCCTATGGATCCAGCAGGGGCAAGTTGGCCAAGGAAAGCCGAATACAGCTGGCTCGGCTCGCTTTTTTTTTTTTTTCCAGGCGGGTAGGAAAGAAAGCTCCAGGAGGTTCACTTCCGTTCTCTCCATTAACTCGGGCAGCGCGGAGATGGAAGCCCTTCGATTGCCTATGAAGGGCGCAAGACAAAGGACATACCGCACGTCCCACGGGCCCCGCTCTCCGGTCTTTGACAGACGAGCAGGAACCGATAGCTGCCTCCCTTCGGGCCTCTCCCACCTCTAGGCTCCCGCACCGCGGGCTGGCGCACCTACGACACCGGCTTTCCCACAGTACCCAGCGGCACCAAAACAAAAACACTTCCGCTCTCTTAGGAGATCAATGAAAGTCGGGAAAAGGAAGTAGTTCCTTAGAGCGCCGGAAGTAGATCCGCCGAGTTTTTTTAACTTTCCAACAGCTTCTTATTCAGCTATGCATCTCGTTGTCTCTCAGCAGTGGTTCATGTCTATATTTTAAAAAAAATATTTAAAATATTTGAAAATACAACGTGTCTTTAAGTCAGTAGAGTTTAAATGGTAGAAGGAGAAAGAGGCGCAATTAATGCAGATTGTAAACTTGGTTATAGATTTTGAATAACAGTGCCATATACACCTGGCGTCAAAACTTCAGACAACCACTAGGTGGCACGAATAAGCTATATGCTGAATACATACGGTATCTTTACTACACAGGTAGGTAGTCCTCGATTTAGAAGTTAGGCTCAAAATTTCCGTTGCTGAGCGAGAGAGTTGTTAGGTGAATTGTGCTCCATTTTACAACCTTTCTTGCCACAGTTGTTAAGTGAATCAGTACAGTTGTCTGTGATGGTATAGGTTCTCCTGCTTGAGCAAGGGGCTGGACTAGAAGACCTCCAAGGTCCCTTTCAGCTCTATTCTGTTCAGTGTCAGAAGTAAGTCTTGATCCTGGTTCATCCAAGCCGGGGATAAATAAGCAACATGGCGACTGCTTTGGGAAGAAGGTTACAGTTTATTGAAGAAGCAGAAAGATGGTCCTTGCAGGAAAGAGGAGTTGAGCACATGGGCAGTACGTTTTTATACCCCCTCTAGCCTTTTGTTTGGAATAGTTTCCTGTTCCTGTGGCATGAACCTTGAGGCTATTTCTGAGTGTTTTTCTGAGCCTTGATATCTGTGGTTTAATCCTATTATCATATCCTGCTTCCCAGGTGATGGGGCTAATGACTCCTAGAGTTTGGGTGGGGTATGCAGATTTTCTCTTTGTCTTCTTGAGTGCTCTGGCTTCAACTTTCTGATGATTTTACATCTGCATTTGTATGGGGCTAGCTCTTGCTTGGGGCAGAGAGATAGATTTGGGGCCAGGTTTGGTTTTAAAAAATCCTTTTGAGGAAAAATATATTTTTCTGCCCTTTTTAATATTTCCTTTTCTGGGTTAACTTCCCTCAATCCCTGCTTTGTGCCTTAAGTGTGAGAATGTCACACTTATTGGCACAACATTAAAATTGATCTGGTCAGGGAGACTTGGTAGGCAAGCTTTTAAACTGTTAAGCCAAAAAAATATGACATTAATGGAGGCAGGAGAAAAAGATCCCTGTAGTGGCTCCCAAAAGGGGAGCTTGCACCCATAAAGTTCTAAAAGTCAGGGCAAAACTTTTGTTAGGTGGAAAAGAAATTTATAGTGTCCAATATTCTGTGCCAATCATTTTCAAATGTTGGATGTCACTTTTAGCTTCCAGTCAGGTTTGCATACCTCCCAAAATTCTTCACTGCCATGGTTTTCCTTAGTACATGACCACTGGCTGCCCATTTTCAAGGGTTGTTTCCTGCCTTAGCTCTTAGTTCAGTGCATCCAGGTTTGTAATGTCCAATTGAGGTTAGCCAATATGCCAGGCTATTAAATTTTTCTTTAAATTGCACATAATGAGCTTTAGGAATCCCAATCTGAGCCCAACCTCAGGGCTGAGGTTTGGGATCTCTTTCCTGTTGCTTCCTTAGGGCATAAGAATTTCAAATCACCTGAGGGGGCCTAGTTCCCTCCCCCTTGGAATCTGTTGGAAGTTGTTCCTACAAAGTTTTGGTGCAATAGAGCAAAAATAAGCCTGGGGAATTTACTAAAGGTAGGTGGAGGGGATAGACTCTGAATGGTGTGTGTGTGTGTGCAACTACTAATACAAACAGGCAATACAAACATTCTGGATAATTTTTCCCTCCCACCAGATAGAAGTCCAAGGTGTTCAGTACTTGTTCTGCCAACTATTCCCAAATGCCATCTTTCCATTAATACATTCAACTGGCTTGTTACAATACAAATGGGGCAAGAAAGAAAAGTTTACAATGAGTTTCCACCCTCCCCCCCCCCCGCAATCTAATTTTCTCTTCTGAGGCTTCACATGGCACCAGTGGCTCCAGGACTCTTTCCTTCTGCAGCTCTCACAGGCATCTGGGGAATGGTAGGACTTGGGAAGATGTTCCACTCAGATTGCATGGTAGCTTTTTAGTGGATGGCTGGATTCAAAACCCAATTCCATGGCTCAAATGGATGGAGGCAGCATCTTGGTCTGTGTGTTCTGCTTCCAAAGGTTTGGGGGAGGATTGCAGGGCTGAAAGCTACAAGAACAAGGTCTCCCCCACTTTCTGGGTGGACTCTCCCAGGAGAGGCAGACAAAAGATATGGAGAACAAAGGGCAAGAAAAGAATTGAAAGTGGGGGGTAGCTTGCAGGCAGTTTGAAAAGGCATCAATGTTGCAGTGGTCAAAGAAACAGGCAAACAAAATCTGCCTTTAACATTTATTCTAAAATAGATCACATTATTTTAGAGATTAGAAAATGCTTATTTGTTTCAGAAAAGTTTCATAGTAGCTTCACCAATTAGTGATAGGATAAGAAAAGTAACTTAAGAAAATTATTTCCCCAAACAAGCAGACTTGAACTTCAAAAGGCTCTTGTAGATAAACACACATTTTTCAGGAAAAGGATAGATAGATAAAACCCATTTAGAACACAAATTTACAACATATTGCAGAATGATTTTCCAGAGCTTGGGGCAGGACCCAGCAGGCAGGACACCCCCTCCTCACTCCAAAGAGGAAATATCTTGGCAAATACAAGGAGGACTGGAGGGATATTTAAACAAGGGACAGTGAGTTAATTGATACAGAACATCCCTGTCCCTGGCAATCAAAAATTACAGGGTTAGCAGTGCAAGTAACATAGATGTGTGTGGACAAGAATATCAACCTTGCTATCAAGCAAAATCAAGCTTTTAATAGTGAGTGTCACACAAAGTGGACTAACGCATAGGTGTCAGTCATAAAGAATGAGGGCAAATATGATATAGTTGTCATTATAGAAACATGGTGGGATAAAACCCACAAATGGAACACTCAGCTAGAGGGATTTCAATTGTTTAAAAGAAACAGACCAAATAAAAGAGGAGGCAGAGCTTCTCTCTATATAAGAAATAACTACATATCTACAGAATTAGGGCACAACAATGATGGAAACTGTCTTGAATACATTTGGATCAGTATAAAAGGGGGAAAATGACATTGCCATAGGTGTATACTATAGGCCATACAGGGGAAATAGAACTTTTTGCTAGTCAGCTAACTAAGGTACATAGGAAACACATGACAATAGAAAGTCAAACTAGAGTCTTGGACTTTAAGAGAGCTAATTTCAATAAACTTGAGAGGGCTTGGGAGGGATTCCATGGATGAGAATCTTCAAGGGGAAACAACTCAAGAAGCTTGGAATTATTATTTTTTAAATATCCCAGTCTAGCACACTACCAACAAAGAAGAAAAATAATAGCTCTCACAAGAAACCAGCATGGCTGCATGAAGAACTCTCTGATAAATTGAAAGATAAGAGAGACAAGTATAAAAGTGGAAAGAGGAGCACATAACTAAAGCAGAATATTAGCAAATAGTCTGAGCCTATAAAGATGAGGTGAAGAAAGCTAAGGCTCAAAATGAACTAGGCTTGTGACCACAGTCAAAAATAATAATTAAAAAAAAACAGTCCAACTTATCAAAAACAGTACCGTAAAAAATAGATTAGAAGCACAAGTTAAGTTAGGCAAGAAAATGCTAAGTGAGCACTTATCCAGCCTAGAAGAGTTCAAATCACCAGGACCAGATGCATTACACCCCAAAGTTCTCAAGGAACTGGCAGATGTGATCTCAGAATCACTGAACTATATTTTTCAAAGATCCTGGAGCACTAGGGAACTACCAGAGGACTGGAGAAGAGCTGATGTAGTTCCCCTCTTCAAAAATAAAAATAAAAATAGATCTAGGAAACAACAGACCTATCAGCCTGATCTCAATACCTGGGAAGATTCTGGAAAACATAATCAAACAAGAATCCGCGAACACCTTGAGCCAAACAAAGTCATTACTAAAAGCCAACATGGGTTTGTCAAAAATAGATCATGCTAGACATATCTTACTGCATTCTTTGACCCAATTACAAAATTAGTGGACTAGAGGAATGCTGTGGATATAATTTTCTTGGACTTCAGTAAGGCATTTGATAAAGTTCATATAGGGTTTCCTGCCTGAGCAGGGGGTTGGACTAGATGACTTCCAAGGTCTCTTCCAACCTTATTATATATTATTAAATGCAAGAGTGAAATCTTTCTAGCAGATAAACTTAAAACATTCCCTCCTGCTAACTTAAGGCTGTTCTTAAGAATACACAGAGAGAAAGAGGAAAACAAACACAATTTTTTTCTTCACTCTGTTTGTTGGCCAGATAAACAGAGTGAGGTATTTCCTTTTTGTGGCTTATTTTAAGCAGAATTTCTAGCATAATTTAAAATTATTTTTTCTTTGGATTTGAAACAGTTAACAGTCACATTTACCTCTCACACACAGACTTTGACAAACATATATACACAAAGACAAGAGAACAGAAAAGGAAACAAGTCTTAGTTTTACACATCCTAGTCATTCCCACCATAAATTTCAGATAACTCAAGTTAGGGAAGGCACACATTTTAAACATACCATGTGGTTGCATAGAGAAGAGAGAGAGAGAGAGAGAGAGAATCACTATTTCTTATTTTCCCTTTTAAGTACCTTTATTTAGCCAAATTGGTTTCCCAGCAAAGCCCTAAGCAAAGTCTTTTTTTTTTCATATAGTTTCTTTACCTATCTCTTTTTCATACCGGCCTGGGCGGGTAGCTGATTCCTGTCCCAGGCTTCAAGCAAGCTCTCAACTGGGGAACCTATCTCAGCCCTTGAATTGGAACCTCCCATGATTCTATAACGGGATTTTCCTCTAACGCTAAAGGGCACTATACGCCGGAAGCCTCCTTGTGAGACTTCCTCCTTCACCACGGTTTTGTGGGTC